GCCCCCTGGCCAGGCAGCGGGGCCACAATCCTAGGGTGACTGTGATTGGGTTTCTTGTAAGAGGAATCATATCAGCGAGGCTAGGATTAAACAAATTCCGCTATCATGACGGCAGTCTGGCACCCCCAACCGGGCTGGGGAATCTGCCCCATCCGCCCCTTCCCTGCCCGGGCCCCTCCTTCCCCTCCCCCCGCCTGCTCCTCACTGTCCTCCTGCCCTGGCCAGGCAGCGGGGCCACAATCCTAGGGTGACTGTGATTGGGTTTCTTGTAAGAGGAATCATATCAGCGAGGCTAGGATTAAACAAATTCCGCTATCATGACGGCAGTCTGGCACCCCCAACCGGGACCTGGGGAATCTTCCTCGGAGGACGAGGAGCCAGGCTGGGGGAAGGGCACAGGCAGGAAGCTGGACCAGGAGGGCTGGCTGGAGCCTGAGGCCACATCTGCTTTCCCTGCGACACTGAGCCTCAGTTTCCCCTCTGTGAGGTGGGGGCAGGGCCAGTCTCCTAGCTCTGGAGGGCTTCTCTGGAGTCTGGGCAGTTTCAAGGCCCCCCAGCCAGTGCTCTGGCTTCTCAGGTGCTGAGGAGGAACTGAGGCCCTCACAGGCAAGATAGGGTGCATCGCTGTGATCCCAGCACTCTGGGAGGCTGAGGCAGGAGGCTCACAAGTTCAAGCCCAGCCTGGGACAACTCAGTGAGACCTGCCCCCTGCTCGCTGTGTCGCTGTGGGTGATTCCAACTCCCCACCCCCGCTGTTCTGCGGGTGGCGCATGTGCCCTGGAGTGCTGGGCCCAGGGCTCCCCGCCACTGGAGGAGGTCTGAGCTTCTCTGGGACCTCGGCTTCCTCTCGGGCTGTAGGTGGAAGCCAGCTGGGGTTCTGGAGCCCCTTCTTATCACCCCCGGGGGGGCAGGCAAACAAAAATGGGAGCAAAGCAGAAGTCCTCCACGTGAGGAACCCACTTCGCTGTGGGGAGTGGGCTCAGAGAAGGCAGTAGCTTCCCCAGGGTCACACAGCCACCAGGGCTCCTCCTCGCGCCCACCTGTGACCCCGTGTGGATCTCGCCTCCTTCCGGCTCTGGTTCAGGGTCCACCCCCTCCCCAGGATCCCATTGGGGACCAGAGGGGCTCAGGAGCTGGGGTGAAGGCACCGTGGGCCCTTCCTGTCTACTGGGGTCCCTGTCACTGTTTGGGCGCTGTTGCCACAGGGGGCTGCTGGCTGGCACTGGGATCTGGGGTCCCCCCACCCCACAAGGTGGGACCCCCCCACCCACCAGAGCCACCCCGGGGCGAAGCACACTGGGGACTTCCTGACCGTCTGGACTGGAGCTATCAGAGTTGCTTCCGTTAATTTACTTATCTTACGAAAAGGGTACACATTTTTTTTCAGATGAGATTGATGGGAACCAAAGGAAAAAAAAAAAAAAAGGAATGCAGGGGGGGTGGCGTACACAGGTCATCCTGGCACTTGGGAGGATGAGGCAGGAGGATCTATGCAAGTTCAAGTTCAAGGCCGGTCTGATCGACATAGTGAGAGCCTGTCTCAAAAAACACTAAAAAGAAAGAAAAGCCAAAGTGGCAAGATGAAATTATAAACACCAGACGTTCTTGCAGAGATGAGGCAGGCAGGAAGTCCATCCCCAGCTCCCCGTAGTAGCTGCTCAGCCCTGGGGACCCCTCCCTGGACGTATAGCTCCATGTGTGGCCATTTAGACCCTAGATGTCTTTGCAGCAGGCTCAGGAGGATGCACAGAGCCATTGTCAGCATCCCCCAGCAGGGGTGGCGGAAACAGGGCAGGCCCAGATGGGGACCCCACC